CGTCAACAGCGCCCTATTGAACTTACATAGGCTGTAGCTTCACCTTTTCCAAAAAAAAAACCAAAAATCATACCTCGATTGTAAAAATACAAATTCAGTTTCAGCAACTTGCTCACGTAAACTCTAAAAAAAGAAAGAAAAAAATCAATCAACATCCAAAAATGAAGCAGCTTACTTCAAAGGAGATCTGAAGTCGCAGCAACTTCGCTCACGCAATTGTAATTCACTAACAGAACTCTAAATAGGAAAGAAAACATTAATCAACATGAAAAATAAAGCTTCCTTCACTGCATAGAAGATCTCCTTTCTGAAATTGTACTCCACACTGATTTGAAACTTTCCAAGCATAGAGTTCGTACTTTTCCGCTGTCACGAAAGTTAGATTATTAAAATCAGAACCACGAAGAGCTGAAATAACAATAAGTTTCAGGAGCAGCAAAACCTTTCAAAGGATATCATCCACCGCTCGAGTTTGTGACCGACATGAAGAAGAAAGACTTCTGGAACATTTCCATCTTGCTGTTGACTGAGGTAACCCGAGTTCTTGGCGGAAGTAGCAAGCTGGACTGGCAGGAGGCAAATTACATGAATACTCTCAGCATCCGTTCGCTCGTGTTCGACAAAGCAGGCTTTCGACCATAATCAGCACCCTGCACAGAATTCTAACAGTGTTACAGTTCAATTAAGAAAGATTTATACCAGGGAGTTGACGCCATGGTCTGTGGGAGTCATCCCGTTCGTAAATTTTCTTCCGACCAGGATCATCAGCCTCATCTTGTACATCCTTCAACTACTAGTCAGTGTCCCGAGGCACAAAAGGAGCTCCTCGACAACTTGATGGCAAGGGACATGAAATTCTTAGCTCGCAAAGAACTTGTTTCATTTCCACCATTTGCTTTTCTAGACACGCAAAAAAAGTGTTTCAGCTCGCCAGCACCTAGCACAAAAATCACGCTCGAATATCACATGAAATGCCAAGGCTCTGTACCTCAATCTTCGATCAGTACGTCGTCCTCAAACACGTGGGTAGTGTGATCCACAACCTGCAACAAGAAAAAGGAGAAAACATAAGTCATGGTAACTACAAGCTCGATCGAATGATTTTACGTTGGTGTCACTGAGCTCCAAGTTGTAGAAGACCATCGAATCTCGATCGCCAAAGAGAGGACCAGCGTGCCAAGTTCCTTCGTTTAGCTTGATGAAGCGAGGACCATCTATCTTGAAAACCTGGACGCTTGCATGAGAGGGAGGTAAATAGGAGTGGCCACCAGCGTTGGATCGAACAGCGCCCTCGTGTTGCGATGAAGGATCCACAATGCTGGGAAGAGAGACCGCCATGTACCAAGGATGAGCTCCCACTGATCCCAGACACTGCGTGACCCTGGCGTGATGCGTTATCCTTTTGAATCGCAGCCCCGTTTTCTTGAGCTCCATGAGGTAGAATCTGCGCAAAGGAACCATCACTCACTCAATCACTACCGAGCCGCTGGAAATTTCGGCCACATTTTGCCTGCACTACCTGGGAATCCCATTCGCGAGATTGAGCTGCGCGTCTCCCGATCCATACTCGCATCCGTCGCCGATCTTTCCCAGGAGCTGGCCAAGGCCGGAAATTATCCTCCGTGATCGGCACTGCTCGCAGCTTGAGCCCCATCGAAGAACCCTAGCCCTGGCAATATCGCCCAGCGCAGGAATCGAACCCAGCATAGTCAGCCAAGTCAACGGTCCATTGGTCAACGATAGTCAATTGTGGTCAACAGTGTCCAAACGACATCTATCCGCTACGGGCACTGAAACTTAAAGCGTAGAAAGGACATAAGCTATTGTAGCAGCGAATTTATGGCCAGAGAAACTTAAGGGGACAGCAACATTCTTAGAGTTTTCTCATTTTCTTCACTTTGTTCTTGGTTGTGGGCCATTTAATCTTTGAACTGGCAATGCAGATGCCATGGTACGAGTTTAAGATGCCATCACAAGGCATTTACTATCACTGTGAAGTGCATGAAGGAACTTACAGCAATATCTCAACATCCTTGTAAGCTCTTCTATAGCAACAATCTCTTTAGAACTATGGCACCCAAATCACATTTAGGGAGACAATGTAGGCCTCAAATTTCCACCCTACAAAGCCCTGCAAAGCCCTGCAAAGGCATGTTTACCTTGCATTTGAAGACTGATTTCTAATTTGCCTTGCTATTTGAAAGAAATGTTCAATTTTCACTTTGTACTAATGAAGTATAGAAATATTTTAGTTGCCACTTGCAGGGCAAAGAAAATTCTTACATTGCAGTATAGATAATATTCTATCTAATATTATTAAAAATATTGTAAAAATATCCTGATGTCTAACCACCTGAATTCAATGAAGTTGACATGGATTAGGACTAGGGCAAATGGGAAAGCAGCGATAGTGACAGCAACAACATAGGATTGAAGCATTTTTTGCTATTGCCTATGAGAGGGAAAAAAAAAATATAAATTAACAAAATATTGCAAGGCAAAAGCTTTATAATTCCCTTTTTGGTGAAGGATTTAAAATTAGATCAGAGGATGAAGATCTTTCAACAACAGAAAAAGAAACTAATACTACAACCAATAAAAAGAGGAAAAAGAATAAAACATTCAGAATTGAGTGGAAACTTAGTTTTCCTTGGGTGTATCTTGTGATAGATGTTGAAGGCAATTAAAAAATAAAATGTATGATATATGTATATGCTAAAAAGTATAATTTTTTTGGTAAGGATGGTTCTTTGACTTTTCAAAAACCAATTTTAAAATAGCATAATAATTCCAAATAACATCAATTAGCTATAGTTATTTGGGAAGTAAAGAAAAAAGAAAGGGTTATCTATCCTTAAATATATTACTGCTCAAAAAGATCAACACAAAAATAAATTGATTTCCTTAATGCAACACATGTACTTCATTGTGAATAAAGGATTACCTTTACAAAGCTATAAATCTTTGTGTGAATTTAATAGGTTTATAGAAATGCCCTATATGCCAATCACCATAGAGTATAAGGCTTATATGAATGCTATGAGTGGAAAAAAGTTTGTAAAATGCAAAAAAGATATGTGATGGAAAGATGTTTGCCAAAATATTTGAGCTAGTCCTTACTTTTCTATTATGGTGGATAACAATACTGATAAAAGTTTGGAATCTCATCTTATCATATACATCTCTTTCCATATGCAAGAAAAAGAAAAAAGTCTGAATAAAACTTACTTTTTCAAATTGATGGTAACTAAAGGTTGTAAATAAATATGAAGCCATCAAAAAGGTTTTGGAAGAAATGAACTTTAAAAAGGGAAAATGTGTTGTTATTGAAACTGATGGAGCTTTTATTATGGTTGGAAAATAATTTGGTCTAGTGACAATATTGAAACATAACATTCCACACTTGCTTGGAGTGCATTACTTAACACATAAATAAAGTTTAGTGGCTATTGAAGTTGTGCATGCATTTTTTAAACTTATGATTGTTCAAAAGCTATGCAATCAAATTTATAAATGGTTGCATACTTTTAGAAAAAGAGTCATGGCTTTTAGGCCTCTAGAAGATGCTATAAATATATTTACATTAGGTATGCTTCAAATCCACAGTGTACGTTGATTATTTCATGGGGAAGTTTTAAAAAGATTGATCATTTATTCATATGCTACCTAATATACTTCTGGAATTAAATAGTTTGAACAAAATCTTTTAAAGTTGAAACTGTGGATATTGCTAGCATTGTTGGGTAATTATATGGTACTTTGAAAAGTATCAAAAGAAAATTTCTGAAAGAGACTCTTAGTGTGAAACACTTGAGTAATTTTGTGGAGGTTACTAAAGATGAATTTATCAAGTTTATAAATGCTGAAAAGGAATAACATAAGCATGTCTTAAATTATACTTCTATTCTAGAGAGCAAAGGAGATGGGAGCTTAAGCTCTTACTTAAATTTAAATAAGGAGTGTGTTCAAAAACTATACATTGATATGTTAGCTAGAATGGGAAAAGATATAGGCATATTTAATACTACAAAACTGTTCAGCCCAAAGAATTATTCAAATGATAAGGAAAAATTGGATAACAACTTTTACAAATGGCTAAATATTTTACTGAACTAATATGGTGCTTTTGTTGATGGGGAAAAATGTAAAGGAGAATTCACAAAGTTTGTAACTATTATGCAAAGTAATCTGTTAACAAAAAATAAGCTAGTCGCTTGGCAAATATGCAGAGATGATATTTCCATGATAGATATATGTTTTAATTTGATAGAATTATGCAAAATTATCTCTTTGATACCTGTGAGCACTACTTGTGCTGAAGGTGGATTTTCTTATCAAAATCAGTTAAAAACTACTTCAAAATGCTATTTAAATATTGAAACTTTAAATGATTTGATATTCATCTATTTAAATGGTGATAATGAGTACAACAAGATCAATTAGGGGCATGTTTATGATGCATGTCATCAAAAAAAGCAAACAAAGATTTTGTGTAATTGAATTAGTTGTATTAAAAAGTTTTTTATATATAAATATCTATATATTGGGAGGTATAACTTAATTTTTATCTTGCACAATGAAAGAAAATTGTAATATTCACAAGAAGGAAAAGAAAGTTTGCCCTGCAAATTTGAGGCTTGTGGCAATGGCAATAGTGTTCAGTAGCAATCTGCCCTGTCCAAGCTTTGCGTTTGTTACACCACTTCGTAGTACTACTCCTCGAGCCAACACAAGGTTCTTAAGTATAAGATAGAAACATCACTACTCCAGTTTTTTCTTTCCCACCACCTAAGCTTAGTAAGTGGCAAACTATAAGACCTGGTTGAAAGGGAGAGTTCTGCACAGTACACACAAAAAGATGGCCATGCCGTGTGTTTGAAGCCGACTTTTCTCTAGGCCTGGAAGAAGAAGCTTTAAGTTTATGGAGAATTTATAGAGCAAGAGTACGAGATACAACAGGTTTCTATATACTATTATTCCCTTCCACGGCTGTGCAATAGTTTGTTGTGCAACAGTAGAAAGGGCGCTACCGAGACGAAGAAAACAGTCTTGTGTGTGTCAGATCATTGTTGTCAAACAACATTGATCAATCTGGAATCGCAGCACTAGTGCTCCAGTTTCTCGTCTGACCGTTTGTCATGTGAAAGTTTTAGCTCTTTGAAGTTGCTCTCTCCACTCATCTTCACGGACAGAAGTAATTAGCTCCTTTCTTCGTCTTCTTCATTGATTCTTCTTCACTTTCTTCTCTACCTTTTCTTTCTTCCTCCTGTGTAGTTGTGGAGTTGTGGAGAGACTCTTAGAGATGATCACCTGGAAGGATCTTAGTGAGGCCGAAATCAGGAAAGCTGCAACGATAGTAATCAAGTACCTGCTTCGTCACCGGAGTAACTGCTTCAGGATTTCCGCTATCCCTGGATCCCTGGAAGCCATCATTTCCCTTTTAACCGCAGGAGAGAAGATAGTGCCAGAAGAACAGAGATACGGACTCGCTATCCTCAACAGGCTAGCCGTGGACCACAGGACATGCGTGCGAATCGGTAACACCAGCGGACTTATCTCCATCCTGGTTGCGTTTATCCAAGACGAAGACTGGAACTTCCTCGAAGTACGAACGTCGAGAAAAGTATTCCGTCGATCACTCGAGCTTTTGAGGACATTGGCTGGCGCGGGAGGAGATTCTGGACGGTCTCTGCGAAAGAAGATAGTGTCGGTAGTGTCAGCAGTAAGAAGTCTTCAAAGGATATGCAATCTCGAAGATTTGGAGCTACAGGACCTGGCAGTAGACGTGATCAAGCTGTTAGCAACCGAGGACGAGCTTAGAGATTGCATTGGTGCAACTGGAGGAGTTATCCAAAGCTTGATGGCCATATTTGCGAGAGAAACCGCACCGAACAGCCACCAGTTGAGCATCGCCATGAGAGCCGGGGAAGCCATATTTTTGCTCGTCCTCCAGTGTCCCAACAATTGCTCGAGGCTCCTCAGGCGCAAAAGCTACAGCCAAGGTGGCGTTAGCAAGACCCTCAAGAGCTTGATCAACATGCTCACCAAGCCAATTGGAGTCCATGCAGCCACAATTTTGCGAAGCTTGTGCGGTGAGCTTAACGACGAAGAAAAGTTGGAGCTTGGAGCAGCCATATCTCCCATCATCCAGATGGTGCTGGAATCCACAGACAAGGAACAGCAGGCAGCCATCGGTTTGGCAGCAGCCATAATCCCCTGGCTCGACACACGTAACTTTGAACAACGGCTTTGCGAAAAAATCACAGAGCTTCTATCCCAGACAGCACCTTCTAGGAGCTTGAATCGTATCCGGCGATATAGCGTAGAGCTTCTGAACAGCTTGATGGCAAAGGACGCCAGGTTCTTGCGACGTTTTAGAGAAGACGGTGAAATGGAGACGTCCCTGGAAGCAATGTCAGCGACTGCCTCAGACGAAGAAAACTTCTTAACGTTTTCGGGTTTTGTGGGACTTACCAAGCATTCCAGAAGCCTCGAGGAGCTCGTCAACAGCGCCCTATTGAACTTACATAGGCTGTAGCTTCACCTTTTCCAAAAAAAAACCAAAAATCATACCTCGAATGTGTCATGCTGTAAAGAAGAAAATACAAATTCAGTTTCAGCAACTTGCTCACGTAAACTCTAAAAAAAGAAAGAAAAAAATCAATCAACATCCAAAGAAGAAGAAGCTTACTTCATAGGAGATCCGAACTCGCAGCAACTTCGCTTACGCAATTGTAATTCACTAACAGAACGCTAAATAGGAAAGAAAACATGAATCAACATGAAAAATAAAGCTTCCTTTACTTCATAGAAGATCTCCTTTCTGAAATTGTGGTCACCACTACGCTGTTTTGAAACTTTCCAAGCATAGAGTTCGTACTTTTCCGCTGTCACGAAAGTTACATTATTAGAATCAGAACCACGAAGAGGTGAAATACAAGAAGTTTCAGGAGCAGCAAAACCTTTCAAAGGATATCATCCACCGCTCGAGTTTGTGACCGACATCAAGAAGAAAGACTTCTGGAACATTTCCATCTTGCTGTTGACTGAGGGAACCCGAGTTCTTGGCGGAAGTAGCGAGCTGGACTGGCAGGAGGCAAATTACATGAATACTCTCAACATCCGCTCGCTCGTGTTCGACAGAAAGCAGGCGGCTTTCGACCATAATCAGCACCCTGCACAGAATTCTAACAGTGTTACAGTTCAATTAAGAAAGATTTATACCAGGGAGTTGACGCCATGGTCTGTGGGAGTCATCCCGTTCGTAAATTTTCTTCCGACCAGGATCATCAGCCTCCTTTTGTAACTACTAGTCAATGTCCCGAGGCACAAAAGGAGCTCCTCGACAACTTGATGGCAAGGGACATGAAATTCTTAGCTCGCAAAGAACTTGTTTCATTTCCACCATTTGCTTTTCTAGACACGCAAAAAAGTGTTTAAGCTCGCCATCACCTAGCACAAAAATCACGTTCGAATATCACATGAAATGCCAAGGCTCTGTACCTCAATCTTCGATCAGTACGTCGTCCTCAAACACGTGGGTAGTGTGATCCACAACCTGCAAATAAAAAGAACATAAAAAGGGAGAAAACATAAGTCATACAAGCTCGATCGAATGATCTTACGTTGGTGTCACTGAGCTCCAAGTTGTAGAAGACCATCGAATCTCGATCACCAAAGAGAGGACCAGCGTGCCAAGTTCCTTCGTTTAGCTTGATGAAGCGAGGACCATCTATCTTGAAAACCTGGACGCTTGCATGAGAGGGAGGTAAATAGGAGTGGCCACCAGCGTTGGATCGAACAGCGCCCTCGTGTTGCGATGAAGGATCCACAATGCTGGGAGGAGAGACCGCCATGTACCAAGGATGAGCTCCCACTGATCCCAGACACTGCGTGACCCTGGCGTGATGCGTTATCCTTTTGAATCGCAGCCCCGTTTTCTTGAGCTCCATGAGGTAGAATCTGCGCAAAAGAACCATCACTCACTCAATCACTATCGAGCCACTGGAAATTTCGGCCACATTTTGCCTGCACTACCTGGGAATCCCATTCGCGAGATTGAGCTGCGCGTCTCCCGATCCATACTCGCATCCGTCGCCGATCTTTCCCAGGAGCTGGCCAAAAGGCCGGAAATTCACCTCCGTGATCGGCACTGCTCGCAGCTTGAGACCCTAGCCCTGGCAATATCGCCCAGCGCAGGAATCGAACCCAGCATAGTCAGCAAAGTTAACGGTCCATTGGTCAACGATAGTCAATTGTGGTCAACAGTGTCCAAACGACATCTATCCGCTACGGGCACTGAAACTTAAAGCGTAGAAAGGATATAAGCTATTGTAGCAGCGAATTTATGGCAAGAGAAACTTAAGGGACAGCAACATTCTTAGATTTTTTCTCATTTTCTTCACTTTGTTCTTGGTTGTGGGCTATTTAATCTTTGAACTGGCAATGCAGATGCCATGGTACAAGTTTAGGATGCCATCACAAGGCATTTACGATCACTGTGAAGTGCATGAAGGAACTTACAGCAATATCTCAACATCCTCGTAAGCTCTCCTATAGCGACAGTCTCTTTAGAACTGTGGCACCCAAATCACATTTAGGGATGACAATGTAGGCCTCAATTTTGCACCTTGCAAAGCCCTGCAAAGGCATGTTTACTTTGCATTTGAAGACTGATTTCTAATTTACGTTGCTACTTGAAAAAAATGTTCAATTTTCACCTTGCACTAATGAAGTATAGAAATATTTTAGTGTTGCCACTTGCTGGGCAAAGAAAATTCGTACATTGCAGTACAGATAATATTCTATCAAATATTATTAAAAATATTATAAAAATATCCTAGTGTTTAACAACCTGCCCTAGACCTAATACATGTCAACTTCATTGAATTCAAATGGGAAAGCAGCGATAGTGACAGCAACAACATAGGATTGAAGCATTTTTTGCTATTGCCTATGAGAGGGAGAAAAGAAATATAGATTAACAAAATATTGCAAGGCAAGAGCTTTATGATTCCCTTTTTGGTGAAAGATTTAAAATTAGATTAGAGGATGAACATCTTTCAACAACAAAATAAGAAACTAATATTACAACCAATAAAAAGAGGAAAAAGAATTAAGCATTCAAAATTAAGTGGAAACTTAGTTTTCCTTGGGTGTATCTTGTGATAAATGTTGAAGGCAATTAAAGAATAATATATGTATATGCTAAAAAGGATAACTTTTTTGGTAAGGATGGTTCTTTGACTTTTTAAAAACCAATTTTAAAATAGCATAACAATTCCAAACAACATCAACTAGCTATGGTTATTTGGGAAGTAAAGAAGAAGAAAGGGTTATCTATCCTTAAATATATTACTCCTTAAAAAGATCAACACAAAAATAAATTGATTTCCTCATGTACTTCATTGTGAATAAGGGATTACTTTTACAAAGCTATAAATCTTTGTGTGAATTTAATAGGTTTATAGAAATGCCCTATATGCCAATCACCATAAAGTATAGGACTTGTGTAAATGCTATAAGTGAGAAAAAGTTTTTAAAATGCATAAAAGATGTGTGATGGAAAGATGTTTGCCAAGATATTCAAATTAGTCCTTAATTTTCTATTATAGTGAATAACAATATTGATAGAAGTTTGGAAGCTCATCTTATCATATACATCTCTTTCCATATGCAAAAAAAAGAAAAAAGTCTGAATAAAACTTGCTTTTTGAAATTGATGGTAATTAAAGGATGTAAATAAATATGAAGCCATCAAAAAGGTTTTGGAAGAAATGAACTTTAAAAAGGGAAAATGTGTTGCTATTGGAACTGATAGAGTTTTTATTATAGTTGAAGAACAATTTGGTCTAGTGACAAGATTGAAACATAACATTCCACATTTGTTTGGAATGCATTGCTTAGTGCATAGATAAAGTTTAGTGGCTATTGAAGTTGTGCATGCATTTCTTAAATTTATAATTGTTCAAAAGCTATGCAATCAAATTTATAAATGGTTGCATACTTTTAGAACAAGAGTCATAGCTTTTAAGCCTCTAGAAGATGCTATAAATATATTTACATTAGGTATGCTTCAAATTCACAATGTACGTTGGTTATTTCATAGGGAAGTCTTAAAGAGATTAATCATCTATTCATATGCTGCCTAATATACTTCTGGAATTGAATAGTTTGAACAAAATCTTTTAAAGTTGAAATTGTGGATATTGCTAACATTGCTAGGTATTTAGATGGTACTTTGAAAAGTATCTAAAGAAAATTTCTGAAAGAGACTCTTAGTGTGAAACACTTGCGTAATTTTGTGGAGGCTACTAAAGATGAATTTATCAAGTTTATAAATGTTAAAGGGGAATAACAAAAACATGTCTTAGATTATACTCCTATTACAGAGAGCAAAAGAGATGAGAGCTTGAGCTCTTGCTTAAATTTAAACAAGGAATGTATTCAGAAATTACACATTGATATGTTGGCTAGAATGGGAAAGGATATAGGCATATTCAATGCTACAAAATTGTTCAGCCCAAAAAATTACTCAAATGATAAGGAAAAATTGGATAACAACTCTTACAAATGGCTAAATATTTTACTGAACTAGTATGGTGCTTTTGTTGATGGGGAAAAATGTAAAGGAGAATTCACAAAGTTTGTAACTATTATGCAAAGTAATTTGTTAACAAAAAATGAGCTAGTAGCTTGGCAAATATGCAAAGATGATATTTCCATAATAGATATATGTTTTAGTTTGATGGAACTATGGAAAATTATCTCTTTGATACATGTGAGCACTACTTATGCTAAAGGTGGATTTTCTTATCAAAATCAGTTAAAAACTACTTCAAGATGCTCTTTAAATATTGAAACTTTAGATGATTTGATGTTTATCTATTTAAATGGTGATAATGACTACAACAAGATCAATTAGGGGCATGTTTATGATGCATGTCATCAAAAAAAGGAAACAAAGATTTTGTGTGATTAAATTAGTTGTATTAAAAAAAAATTTATATATAAATATCTATATATTGGGAGGTATAAATTAATTTTTATCTTGCACAATAAAAGTCAATTCTAATATTCACAAGAAGGAAAAGAAAGTTTGCCCTGCAAATTTGAGGCTTGTGGCAGTGGCAATAGTGTTCAGTAGCAATCCCTGTCCAAGCTTTGCGTTCATTACACCACTTCATAGTACTACTCCTCGAGCCAACACAAGGTTCTTAAGTATAAGATAGAAACATCACTACGTGAGAAGGAATACTCCAGTTTTTTCTTTCCCACCACCTAAGCCTAGTAAGTGGCAAATTATATGACCTGGTTGAAAGGGAGAGTTCTGCACAGTACACACTAAAAGATGGCCATGCTGTGTGTTTGAAGCCGACTTTGGAAGAAGAAGCTTTAAGTTTATGGAGAATTTATAGAGCAAGAGTACGAGATACAACAGGTTTCTATATACTATTATTCCCTTCCACAGCTGTGCAATAGTTTGTTGTGCAACAGTAGAAAGGGCGCTACCGAGACAAAGAAAACAGTCTTGTGTGTGTCAGATCATTGTTGTCAAACAACATTGATCGATCTGGAATGGCAGCACTAGTGCCAGATCGCTCCAGTTTCCCGTCTGACCGTTTGTCGTGTGAAAGTTTTAGCTCTTTGAAGTTGCTCTCTCCACTCATCTTCACGGACAGCAGTAATTAGCTCCTTTCTTCGTCTTCTTCATTGATTCTTCTTCGTTTTCTTCTCTACTTTTTCTTTCTTCCTCCTGTGTAGTTCGTGCTGCTTCTGTGGAGCACCAGCCCAAGCTATACCACAAAGTCCATCCTACTGTAGCGATAGTCATCAACAGTATAGTGGTCATGTTCTAGATCCTACCGCGATTTAACGAGCGAGAAAGGGAGTGATGTTTGCACGGCGGGACAAGCAGGGCACAGGTTTTTTAGATTTCTATACGAGTCCCTAGCTTCCTTTCGTTGAGGGGTCAAAAGATTCATTCTCATGAATATTTTTTCTTGGTCCTGGTCCCTTGTGTGTCTGAAGCATCTATCTCATAGCTAGGAACATTTGCAAGAGACCAGCAGAGCGGAAAACATTGATTTAAAACAAACATCTCGTATATAACACCCAGCGTATTCTTCTCGTCCCAGTCGAACTTCATCCTGTGTTCTTCCCAAAGTTTCCACAGGCATTTTATAGTTTCTGTTCTTCTTTATCCTTGTTGGTGGTGCCATGCAGATGGGTCGATCTCCTTGCTGCGAGAAAATCGGTCTCAACAGGGGTCCATGGACTCGTGAAGAAGACACGCTCCTCACGCAGTATGTCAACGAGCACGGCGAAGGGTCTTGGAGAACGCTTCCAATGGCCGCAGGTTTGATCCGCCCAAATCTCATTCCACTCCTTGTCTCTACATTCTCTAAGATTTTTTGTCGTGGTTGCTAGATTCCCTCTAGACAAGCCATGTTTGCGTCGTAGCTAGTTACAACGTCCCTATTCCCTTATATACTCCGCTCAAGCTTGATGTTTGCAGTGTCTTTGTCGCAACTTGCAGCACTGTCAAACAAAGCACTCGTTTTTTATTGATTCGCTCGTGACGAGTCGCTTGAAGTGGTCAGAAGGCTCGTGCTATCATAGATTTGCTCGTGATGAGTAGCTTGAACTGCTCGGAAGGCTCGTGCTATCATAGAACGAAAGTAGTAGCTTACTTGCGGCTTTGAAGTCGTCAATACCACGGTCACCAGAATGCCCAGAATGCCCAGAACTCCTTGAACACTAAACATGGATTCGTGGAACAGCAGAAAGTTTCAAGGGGCACAGTCTGCCGGTGCCCCCAAGAGTACCGAGGTAACCATTCAAGTTCCTTCTTCCGGCTCTGCTCTCGCTTCTCCAACTTCTCCACCTTCAAGCACTAGAACCCCATATACCAGTGAGTTGTGGTCGGTTTTTTCCCCACATCCGGAAGTCGAGCAGCAGCCTTCCACTCCCAAGCCTTCAGTAAAGAAAGATTTATACCAGGGATTCGGTGCCAGAAGAATTTGGTGCGTGGGAAGCGCGTATGTAAAGTTCCTCCCCACCAGGATCATCAGCCTTTTCATGTACTTCCTCCAGCTTGCTTCTGCAACAGTCACCGCATGTTTCTCAGTATATCGACTTGCCGAGCACGGCTTCAATGCCCAAGGAAACAACACTGAGCAAGCACTTACTGTGTTTTACGCGATGATGCTGGCAGAAACGTCGCTATTCCTCCTGGAGAGAGCATATTGGGAATTCAAGCTTCGTTACCAGAGGTTGCTGGAAGTAGTCACTCGAACGTGTGAGCTTGATCAAGACGACATTGAAACCATGAAGCAGTACTGGTACACATTGTACTCACGATCGCTGAACGGAAGCGTGTTTGATGGCCTGGGAATGGACCTTATCGATTTCACCGTCGAGAAGCTGCAGTCAAGCATAAGGGAAGAGCAGCTCGGTAGCGTCAAAATACTGTCAGCTCTTGTCTCAAAAGGAGATTCAATGGAAGAAACGCAACGGAGGATTGGTACCACGCCCGGAGTTGTGGAGAGACTCTTAGAGATGATCACCTGGAAGGATCCTAGTGAGGCCGAAATCAGGAAAGCTGCAACCATAGTAATCAAGCACCTGGTTCGTCACAGCCATAACTGCTTCAGGATTTCCGCTATCCCTGGATCCCTGGAGGCCCTCACTGCTCTTTTACCCGAAAGACAGGAGGAAGTGCTAGAAGTCCTCAACAGGCTAGCCGTGGATTACAGGACATGCGTGCGAATCGGTCACACCAGCGGACTTATCTCCATCCTGGTTGAATTTATCCAAGACGAAGTACGAACGTCGAAAGAAGTATTCCGTCGATCACTCGAGCTTTTGAGGACATTGGCTCGCGTGGGAGGAGATTCTGGACGGTCACTGCGAAAGAAGATAGTGTCGGTAGTGCCAGCAGTAAGAAGTTTTCAAAGGATATGCAATCTCGAAGATTTGGAGCTACAAAACCTGGCAGTAGACGTGATCAAGCTGCTAGCAACCGAGGACGAGCTTAGAGATTGCATTGGCGCGACTGGAGGAGTTATCCAAAGCTTGATGGCCATATTTGCGAGAGAAACCGCACCGAACAGCGACCACTTGACCATTGCCATGAAAGCCGGGGAAGCCATAATTGTGCTCGTTCTCCAGTGTCCAAACAATTGCTCGAGGCTCCTCATGCACAAAAGCTACAGAAAAGGTGGCGTTAGCAAGACCCTCAAGAACTTGATCAACACGCTCACCAAGCCAGTTGGAGTCCATGCAGCCACAATTTTGCGAAGCTTGTGCGGTGACCTTAACGACGAAGAAAAGTTGGAGCTTGGAGCAGCCATATCTCGCATCATCCAGATGGTGCTGGAATCCACGGACAAGGAACAGCAGGCAGCCATCGGTTTGGCAGCAGCCATAATCCCCTGGCTCGACACACGTAACTTTGAACAAGGCGTGCTATCGCAACAATCACAGCTTTGCGAAAAAATCACAGAGCTTCTATCCCAGACAGCACCTTCTAGGAGCTTGAATCGTATCCGGCGATATAGCGTAGAGCTTCTGAACAGCTTGGTGGCAAAGGACGCCAGGTTCTTGCGACGTTTTAGAGAAGACGGTGAAGTGGAGGCGTCCCTGGAAGCAATGTCAGCGACTGCCTCAGACGAAGAAAACTTCTTAACGTTTCCGGGTTTTGTGGGACTTACCAAGCATTCCAGAAGCCTCGAGGAGCTCGTCAACAGCGCCCTATTGAACTTACATAGGCTGTAGCTTCACCTTTTCCAAAAAAAAAACCAAAAATCATACCTCGATTGTAAAAATACAAATTCAGTTTCAGCAACTTGCTCACGTAAACTCTAAAAAAGAAAGAAAAAAATCAATCAACATCCAAAGAAGAAGAAGCTTACTTCATAGGAGATCTGAACTCGCAGCAACTTCGCTTACGCAATTGTAATTCACTAACAGAACTCTAAATAGGAAAGAAAACATTAATCAACATGCAAAAATAAAGCTTCCTTCACTTCATAGAAGATCTCCTTTCTGAAATTGTGGTCACCACTCCACGCTGTTTTGAAACTTTCCAAGCATAGAGTTCGTACTTTTCCGCTGTCACGAAAGTTACATTATTAGAATCAGAACCACGAAGAGGTGAAATACAAGAAGTTTCAGGAGCAGCAAAACCTTTCAAAGGATATCATCCACCGCTCGAGTTTGTGACCGACATCAAGAAGAAAGACTTCTGGAACATTTCCATCTTGCTGTTGACTGAGGGAACCCGAGTTCTTGGCGGAAGTAGCGAGCTGGACTGGCAGGAGGCAAATTACATGAATACTCTCAACATCCGCTCGCTCGTGTTCGACAGAAAGCAGGCGGCTTTCGACCATAATCAGCACCCTGCACAGAATTCTAACAGTGTTACAGTTCAATTAAGAAAGATTTATACCAGGGAGTTGACGCCATGGTCTGTGGGAGTCATCCCGTTCGTAAATTTTCTTCCGACCAGGATCATCAGCCTCCTTTTGTAACTACTAGTCAATGTCCCGAGGCACAAAAGGAGCTCCTCGACAACTTGATGGCAAGGGACATGAAATTCTTAGCTCGCAAAGAACTTGTTTCATTTCCACCATTTGCTTTTCTAGACACGCAAAAAAGTGTTTAAGCTCGCCATCACCTAGCACAAAAATCACGTTCGAATATCACATGAAATGCCAAGGCTCTGTACCTCAATCTTCGATCAGTACGTCGTCCTCAAACACGTGGGTAGTGTGATCCACAACCTGCAAATAAAAAGAACATAAAAAGGGAGAAAACATAAGTCATACAAGCTCGATCGAATGATCTTACGTTGGTGTCACTGAGCTCCAAGTTGTAGAAGACCATCGAATCTCGATCGCCAAAGAGAGGACCAGCGTGCCAAGTTCCTTCGTTTAGCTTGATGAAGCGAGGACCATCTATCTTGAAAACCTGGACGCTTGCATGAGAGGGAGGTAAATAGGAGTGGCCACCAGCGTTGGATCGAACAGCGCCCTCGTGTTGCGATGAAGGATCCACAATGCTGGGAAGAGAGACCGCCATGTACCAAGGATGAGCTCCCACTGATCCCAGACACTGCGTCACCCTGGCGTGATGCGTTATCCTTTTGAATCGCAGCCCCGTTTTCTTGAGCTCCATGAGGTAGAATCTGCGCAAAGGAACCATCACTCACTCAATCACTACTGAGCCGCTGGAAATTTCGGCCACATTTTGCCTGCACTACCTGGGAATCCCATTCGCGAGATTGAGCTGCGCGTCTCCCGATCCATACTCGCATCCGTCGCCGATCTTTCCCAGGAGCTGGCCAAAAGGCCGGAAATTCACCTCCGTGATCGGCACTGCTCGCAGCTTGAGCCCCATCGAAGAACCCTAGCCCTGGCAATATCGCCCAGCGCAGGAATCGAACCCAGCATAGTCAGCAAAGTTAACGGTCCATTGGTGAACGATAGTCAATTGTGGTCAACAGTGTCCAAATCCGCTACGGGCACTGAAACTTAAAGCGTAGAAAGGATATAAGCTATTGTAGCAGCGAATTTATGGCAAGAGAAACTTAAGGGACAGCAACATTCTTAGATTTTTTCTCATTTTCTTCACTTTGTTCTTGGTTGTGGGCTATTTAATCTTTGAACTGGCAATGCAGATGCCACAGTACAAGTTTAGGATGCCATCACAAGGCATTTACGATCACTGTGAAGTGCATGAAGGAACTTACAGCAATATCTCAACATCCTCATAAGCTCTCCTATAGCGACAGTCTCTTTAGAACTGTGGCACCCAAATCACATTTAGGGATGACAATGTAGGCCTCAGTTTTGCACCTTGCGCCTTGCAAAGGCATGTTTACTTTGCATTTGAAGACTGATTTCTAATTTACGTTGCTACTTGAAAGAAATGTTCAATTTTCACCTTGCACTAATGAAGTATAGAAATATTTTAGTGTTGCCACTTGCTGGGCAAAGAAAATTCGTACATTGCAGTACAGATAATATTCTATCAAATATTATTAAGAATATTGTAAAAATATCCTAGTGTATAACAACCTGCCCTAAACCTAATCCATGTCAACTTCATTGAATTCAAATGGGAAAGCAGTGATAGTGACAGCAACAACATAGGATTGAAGCATTTTTTGCTATTGCCTATGAGAAGGAGAAAAGAAATATAGGTTAACAAAATATTGCAAGGCAAGAGCTTTATGATTCCTTTTTTGGTGAAGGATTTAAAATTAGATCAGAGGATGAACATCTTTCAACAACAGAAGAAGAAACTAATACTACAACCAATAAAAAGAGGAAAAATAATAAAGCATTCAGAACTAAGTGGAAACTTAGTTTTCCTTGGGTGTATCTTGTGATAGATGTTGGAGGCAATTAAAGAATAAAATGTACGATATATGTATATGCTAAAAAGGATAATTTTTTTCGTAAGGATGGTTCTTTGACTTTTCAAAAACCAATTTTAAAATAGCATAACAATTCCAAACAATATCAACTAGCTATGGTTATTTGAGAAATAAAGAAGAAGAAAGGGTTTGTAAGCCACAAATTTTTCCTTTCCCATTTGCCGGCTTACCTCGTCTATCCGTCTGACACTGCCTTAGCTTTTGCTAAGTTCCCTCACCAAGGTTCTCGCCTATAGTACCAACTCCTACTTGGTTTCAGCTACTCATTGCACGAGCAATGGAGCGTTAGCCATCCATCCACGGATTCCCAATCTCTCCCAATCCCCCTCCCCAGGTTAAACTGGACTTAAGGTTCGGCTACACTCCCCGCAAGCACAAGTAGCCAAGCACACCAAACTTCTAGGTTCCTAACATCCTTTGGTACCACAAGACTTGATCATGGGACCCTCTAAATCCCAAGTCTTGAGTGCAACACTTGCTTCGGGACGCTGGGGCGAAACACTGTGGCCTAGCGGCCCGGTATGGGTACCTCTACCCCCCCACTTCCATCCCGAAGGAAGGCCCAAGCCCCTAGGAAGGGCGAGGACCAATGAGCCGCATGGTACTCAAGTGGGGCACCATTCCACATGAGCTGGGAGCACCGCAATCGGTTTCCCTTTCGGGAGTGGGAGCTGCTCTTGAGCACTTCCTTGGATAGCCCCTCCGGCACCAGCCAAGTCCATGCTCACTCCCACCCAAGGCCCCTCGATCCCAATCTCAACCTCAAGTCGGTTTGGGAGCCCCACTGGAGAGTCCCTTCAAAACTGGTTCCTGGACCTCACTATCCCTACTATACTTTTGGAACCCCCTGCAGCCCCCCCCCCTGGGAGACGCACGCTTTGGGCTTTCACCCCTTGACCCGTATTAGTATTTGGACTTAGTCTTTGGCTCCGAGATCGGGTCCGAGATCGAGTCCGAGATCGAATCCGAGACCGAATCCGAAGTCGGATCCGAAATCGAGTCCGAGATCGACCCGACCTCAGACTCAACCTCGGACTCGGTCTTGGACCCGATTTTGGATCTCAGACTCCGTCTCGAACTCGGTCTCGAACTCGGTCTCGAACTCGGTCCCCGAGTCGGCCTCGGACTCGATTCTGGACTCTATCTCGAACTCGGTCTCCGAGTCGGTCTTGGACTCGATCTTCGACTTGGTCCCATCCGATGAACTCTTTGTCATTTTGGTCATGCTTTCGGGGTTCCTTTAGCCTACGACACCTCGGCGAGTTGGTTCCTTACAACTCCACCACCCATAGAAAAAGTTCGATGCCCACATCGAACGTCTCTCTTTTGATCCTATGACTTGTTAACCATGTCTCCGGGGGCATCCCCCCACTTAGCGGTGTGCCTAAGTTAGCCTCCTCGGCCAAGAGCCCATGACAACGGAATATATGTGTCCCTATACTCCTCACCTCACCACGCCCTAGTATGGGGTTGGGACTTGAACCCAGCCTTGCTTTACTAGGGGGTTAGGACTCGAACCCAACCTCCGTAGAATACGTCTACGGATTCGACATCCCCGCAGGGAGTCAGGCGTAGCTCCCTACGCCTGGTCGACCTAGCTAACCCATGCTAATTAGCTTACCTTCGGCGCACCTTCGGGTCCCAACATATGCCATTGCTCAACTTCACAAATTGATACTTTTAATTGAACTTTGCATAAGTACATAGAGTTCTGCCTTGCAGAAATTCCTCCACTAGATCTCGCGCGTTCGCTAGGTTCTCCTCCGGTTCCCATGTTGCTTCGTAGTGTGGAAATCCTTTCCACTTCACATGGAACTCTCTCACCTCGCGTCCTTGTTGCTTGCTCTTGCGCGCATTGAGGATGGCTTCGACTTCGTATTCCTCTTCCCCTTGGATAACCTCAGGTAAAGGTCTTACTTGGTCCTTGCGAAGCGGATCTTCAAAATACGGTTTGAGTAAGTTCACGTGGAACACGGGATGCATCTTCCACATCTCTCGAGGAAGTCGGAGACGGTAAGGCACTTTACCGATTCGAGCCTCAATCTCGTAAGGCCCCGCGAACCTGCTTAAGGAACTCCAGATCAATTCATTTACAGGAATACATGCACTTTTACCTTTGGGTCAACTTCTGGCTGATCCCACTTGGTAGCCTGAGGTTCTTGGTGTTCAGCCACACCTTCTCCCCAGCTTGGAACTCTACGTCCCGGCGCTTCTGGTTCGCGTACTTGGTTTGCCTTTGTTGCGCCCGTTCCAAGGAATCCCTCACTAGATTCCAAATGTTGAGTCTTTCCGCCGTGAATGCCTCCACTGCGGGTAGCTCTCCATGATACTCAGCCACGCCGAGTTCCATAGGACCTTCAATGGCTCGCCCATTGATGACTTCCCATGGACTCACCCCGATGCTCGAATGTGGTGAGTTATTATAACACATTTCTGCAAGTCCCAAATGACTTACCCAATCGGTCTGGTCTCCTGAGACATAGCATCGCAAATAATCCTCCAGCTGCCTATTCACCCTTTCTGTTTGTCCGTCTATCAAGAAGTGTTAGTGCCATCAACTTGACTTAATACCCCATACCTGTCTGTGGGTGATAGGCTGTGCTGAATTTCAACTTGGTGCGATACTGTTCCAGGAGGGTCCTCCAAAACCTACTAGTGAAGATCTTATCTCGATCTGAGATAATCTCTTTTGGCCTTCCCCACACTCGAACCACTTGCTCAAAGAACAGCTTCGCCACACCTTCCACATCCACTTCCGTTGTGGTGGGTATGAAATGTGCCATCTTCAAAAATCGATCCACCACCACGAATATCGCATCAAACCCCTCGCTTGGGGGTAGTCCCGTGATGAAGTCCATCGTAAGACATTTCCATGGACGATCTGGAATTGGGATGCTTTGCAACAAGCCCCCACTAGCCTTAGTCACGGCTTTGACCTGCTAACATGTTAGACTTGTCTTTTAGTCTTGGACGTCCTTAGCCATATCTGGCTAATGGTACTTCCTCTTGAGTAAGCCCATCGTCTTGGGCACTCCGCCGTGTCCCGCAAGAAGTCCGTCATGACACTCTTCTAAGGCTACCTTCCTTAGTCCCCCTTTTGGAACATACACCCTCGTTTGCTTGTAATAGATGAGTCCGTTGCGTTCCGCATAGCCCGTTTTCTCTTCCGTTGGCAGCTCACCTCTCTGGTGAGCTTCCCTTGCCTCTAGGTTCCTCAGCAACACTTCTTGTGCTAGACCATCGTTCTCATATGTTGTCTGCACATCGTCCCAGAAGGTTGTTGTTGCGCTGGATATTGCCAACCTCAAGCTCGCTTTTCGACTTAGCGCATCCGCCACGATGTTGCTCTTCCCAGGCTTATACAGAATCTCGCAATCAAACTCGGCCAAGGCATTGGCCCACCGACCTTGTTTCCCTCTCAGATCGGGCTGTGACAAGAAGTGTTTCGTTGCCACATTGTCCGTGTAAACCTTGAAGTGTCTCCCAAGGTAGTGTCGCCACTCCTTGAGCTCCTTGACTACCGCAAACAATTCCTTCTCATGGGCAAGCCACTTCCGTTGAGCCTTGTCCAATTTCTTCGAGAAGAACGCTACTGGATAGTTGTCTTGCTTCAAAACCGCGCCCAACGCAAAGTCTGAAGCATCCGTTTTTACCTCAAAGTCCTTACCAAAGTCTGGTAATGCCAACACGGGGGTCTTCCTCGATTTCCCTTTGAGGTGGACGAATGCCGCCTCACATTCCGCTGTCCATACCATCTTCCCTTTTCCTGTTTGGTCCGTTAAGGGCAGGGCTACTCTCGAATAGTGTCTGATAAACTTTAGATAGTAGTTGCATAGCCCCAAGAATGCCCTCAACTCATATACACTCGATGGTCACTCCCATTCCTGGATCGCTTGGACCTTCTCCGGGTCCACCTTGAGCCTGTCCTGGCCCACCACATGCCCGAGAAACTTTACCTCTTGTTGAGCAAAGTCACATTT